ACCCCTTCCTTGTCCCTCCCCGTTCACCTGCGCTGCAGCCGGTCGGCAGTGGGCGTGTGCAATGGCATGGCACCAAGGCCAGTGGGCTGCAGCTGTGAAGGCGCCAGCTCTCCCTGAGCCAAGTGGCTACTGGGCAGCCCTCGTGTCCGGCCGGGGCCGACAGGCACTGGACTGTCCCCTTGCCTGGGCCTCCAACTCTTCACCCTGCCCCGCATCCACAGGCAGCTGCTACTCACCGGTGACAGCCACCAGGGCCAGTGCCAGCACCACAGCCTTCAGGGTCAGCGACATCCTGGGCTGCTCACAGGCCGCCGAGCCTCCTACCACACTGGACTCTTCCCGGAACTGGAGCAAGAAGACAGGCTCTCGGGTGGCTCACCTATCCGAACTGACCAGCCGGGGCCAGCCAGACATTTAAACCCCCAGGCCACACACCCCCACGGCCCCTCCCAGTGGGACTCCACGTTGGAGGGTGACACATTCCCAGGAGGCCTCTTGGACTTTTGTGACTCTAAGGTGACGTGGAAGCTGACAGCAGACGGGCTTGGGCAACAACCAGAAGCGGCTGTTCTCTGCTTGCGCCCCACCCAGTACGAAGGGAAGCGAGGGAGTGTGCGCTGGGAGAGTGAGGCCCAGGTTGTGCAGGGAGCTGAAGAAGGAGTCCACCTGATCCCTCAGATCCTTCTCCAGAAAGATCAGGTGGCCTTGCACGTCCCCCGAGCGCGGGTCCAGCTTCTTGTTGAGCTCCATCACCTGCCGCACCAGGATCTTGTTGAAGGCCTCGCCGTGGGGCTCCACGCTGCTGCGGAACTGCTTCACCTTCAGGTCCAGCTGGCGGCCGAGCTGGGCCAGGGACTCGTGCAGCCCCGTAGCGCCGCCAGCCAGCTTGCCGCGCACGTCCTCGGCCAGGGGCGTCAGGCTCCGGCCCAGCTGATCCGCGTCGGCTTGGAGCTTTTCCTTCAGCTGGTCCGCCTTCTTCTTCATCTGCAAGGCCAGGCCCTCCAACTGGCGGTTGAGATTCTCCTCGGCGCCCTCCGCTAAGGGCGCCAGCTTTTGGCGCAGGACCTCCACGTGCTGGTCGATCTGCCCCTTGAGGTTGTCGGCGTAGGGCGTGAGGTGCCCCTTGAGCTCCTTCACGTTCTGGTCGATCAGGCCCTGGAACTTGTCGGCCACGGGCGCCAGCGAGGCCTGCAGGTTGTCCTTCTGGTCGCGCAGCATCGTCTCCATGCGCTCTGCGTAGGGGCTCAGCTGGCTCCGGAGCTTCTCGGTCTGCGTGCGGACCTGGGTGCGCAGCTGGTCGGCGTAGGGCCCCAGGCTCTCCTGCAGGCCCTGTGCTCCGCTGTTGATCAACTGGCTCACCTCCTGGGCGTGCGGCTGTAGCTGCTTCCCCAGATCCCTCAGCTCCTGGATCTCCTTCTCCAGCTGCTCCGAGGCCTTGGTCAGGTGCTCGTGCAGCCCCGTGGCGAAGGGCACCAGCTTCTGCCGCAGCTCCTCTGCGTAGGCGTTCACGCCGTCCGCTCTGTCCTGGAAGAGGGAGCTGCCCGAGGGGCGCGGGGTGGGGTTACCTTGGGCGTCACCCCCGACCTTGTTTCCCGACCTGGCGCTCACCCTACACACCCTGCCTAGGACCGGGGAGCTGGGGTGCCAGCCTCGCCCAGCTTTCCCGGGCCTGTCCCTGGGTGGGTCCTGACTTGAGCGAAGGCCTGGCAGACCAGGCTATTGCCCTGAGTGTGTGTCTCAATCTCCCTTCCCGCTGGTCGCAGCTGCGGGTGCCTGGAGCGCACTGCTTTCCGCTCCCGGCCTGTGCGAGCGGCCTTGGAGGGTCTTTCCCGTGGGGGTGCCCCGTTCTCTCAGATGTTATGTTCTGGATTCTTCCAGGGTCTTCTAGTAGCACGGGAGCTGGTTTCCTTGCATGTGCCCACCCCCAGAGCCCCCAGCGCCCTCCCTCGGACTCCACGGCCGTCCCTTGGACTGCGTTAAAACCCAGCGCAGACGACCCCCCACCACCACCCCTTCTCCCTGAGCCTCAGGCTGAGCGGTGGCATTTGCCACACTCTGGAAGTTCAAGCAGGAAGACACCTGAGGGCTTTCTCCGTGCAGCTGGCCTGTTTGCATACGTGGACTCCAGCTCGGGAGACCTCAGGGTCACAAGGAGCTGGTGGCAGGCAGTGGTGCAGGTCTGCCTCCCAGCTCAGCCCTGACCCAGGCATTGTGTGGCCCCGCTTACTTGAGCTGCTGGGGGAGATCAGACTTCTGGAGATCCTCCACCGCCTCCTTGGCATTGTCGCCCAGCTGCCTGAAGTAGTTCCACACCACGGTGGCCACCTGGTCGGCACTGACCTCAGCCTGAGTACCTGGGCAGGAAGCAGAACAGCTCATGAGACCAGACTCCTTCCTTGTCCCTCCCCGTTCACCTGCGCTGCAGCCGGTCGGCAGTGGGCGTGTGCAATGGCATGGCACCAAGGCCAGTGGGCTGCAGCTGTGAAGGCGCCAGCTCTCCCTGAGCCAAGTGGCTACTGGGCAGCCCTCGTGTCCGGCCGGGGCCGACAGACACTGGACTGTCCCCTTGCCTGGGCCTCCAACTCTTCACCCTGCCCCGCATCCACAGGCAGCTGCTCCTCACCGGTGACAGCCACCAGGGCCAGTGCCAGCACCACAGCCTTCAGGGTCAGCGACATCCTGGGCTGCTCACAGGCCGCCGAGCCTCCTACCACACTGGACTCTTCCCGGAACTGGAGCAAGAAGACAGGCTCTCGGGTGGCTCACCTATCCGAACTGACCAGCCGGGGCCAGCCAGACATTTAAACCCCCAGGCCACACACCCCCACGGCCCCTCCCAGTGGGACTCCACGTTGGAGGGTGACACATTCCCAGGAGGCCTCTTGGACTTTTGTGACTCTAAGGTGACGTGGAAGCTGACAGCAGACGGGCTTGGGCAACAACCAGAAGCTGTCCCCAAGGCCCAGCTGGCAGCTCTGGGCCAGTGCCAGGCTTGGGGGGCAAAGTTCACACCTCCTCCGTCTACTCCAGGGGAGAGCGAGCACCCCCACCTCCCAATACCCCAATCTGACTCCATCTCAGAGCACCAGACACTGGACTGGGACACCCAGGGCCACAGACCGGGGCAGCGAGCTAAGGTCCAGGGTCCTGGTCAAGTGCACCGAGGTGGACGGGCCTGGAGAGCCTCGGGCAGGCCCCGGCATGGAGGGGTTAACTGTGAGTTTGCCTCCTGTCCCTTGCTGCGGAGCGGTGTCACCTTGGTCTAGTGATTCAACCTGGCCCAGCGCTGAGCCTGTTCTCTTTGAAAATGGGGTTGCCGGGTATATTAAACGAGATGTGTCTTGTGAAGTCAGCAGTACAGTGCCTGGCACAGACTAAGCACTAACAAGCTGCTGATGGTAAAAGCATCGTGTTCCTGATTTGGACCAAAGAATGCTCACCCCTCCAGTGAGTGTGGCAGAGTGAGACTCGGCCCTCTGCAGGTCGCCAGGGGTTACAAGGCAGGGTGACAGCAGGGCAGCTCAAGGCACAGCGCGGCGTGCTCCTGGCTAACTGCCGTCAGACCAGACCCCCTGTGCGCACCCCGACCTGCCACCTCCATTCTTCACATACCAGAGTGGCCTGATGTCTCTGGGGGGGGGGAAAAAGACCTTAAAAGATTTTAAAAATCATATACATTAAAAATGAACTTGTTCAGAAAACTTAAAGAATTATTGGTCTCTTATGAGTGACATATATTAGTAATCTCCAATTGAAAGGTGAGTGAACGCTTCCCCACCCCCAGCGTCAGGGAGCACCTCCCGGAGCAGCCGGGCTGTCCTACAGTAGCTGTTAAGGGCTCAGATTCTGGGGTCAGACGCCCTGGTTATACATCTGGGCTCCCCACTTACTGTCTGTGTGTCTTTGTGAACTTGGGCAAGTCTTTTAACCCGCGCTGAGCCTCAGCTGCCTCTTGGGCTGAGGATTCCCTGAGAAAATCTGTGTGATGCTGGGAACAAGGCCTGGTGCGTGGTCAGTCACGCAGCAGCCGTGTTGCCCCTGAAAGACTGACCCCTGCTGCTCCGGAGGCAGGCACGGTCCAGCCGGGTGCTCAGCGCCCCGTCCCAACCCCTCCCCCGGCCCAGACACGAGGAGGGCAGTGAATCACGAAGGACACCTCAGCTGCAGTTTGACCTCTGGACTTGCAGTCCCAGCAGCAGCATGTGGCAGGCTCAGAGGGCGCCCACCTCCTCGCTGGTCTCCGCACGGAGTCTGTGCTGAGTGACTGCCTGAGGGCGGCTGCAGGTCGTGCGCAGGCACACATGAGCATGCGTGCAGATGAGCGGTCTGCGGACACACGGCTCCGGCCTGGAGCAAAGGGCTAGCGCAGCCTGGTGCCTGCACCCACAGACATGGGTGGCCGTGCTGCCTCCTGGCATGTGGTGGGTGGCACACCATTGATGGTGCATGTATTGCCCACTGCGGGCGTATTTCTTTGGCTGTGAACGTCTTAGTGCTGGGGGCGGGTTTAGAGGGTGTAAGTGCTGATGGACAGCACAGAGTCTGCCTCTGCGGGTCGGGTTCTCTTTGGCCCTGGCCTATGAGTCTGGGGATGGCCGCCTTGGTGGTACAAAGGGCCTGTGTGATGTTGGGCGAGTCTCATTCCTCTCTGAGCTCAGTCTCCTTGATGTACAACAGACAGACGTGACCAGGCTGAAAGTCTAGCATCACCGATAGCCACCCTCCTGTCCACCCACTGGGGTCAAACCAGGGGTCAGCCCAGAGAGAGGAGCCAGGAGGGGACCCCCCCAGGCCCAGTTAGGTACAGGCTCAGTGAGGGGCAGGCCCAGCCAGGAACAGGCTAGTCACATGGACGTGTGTTCCCACAGATGCTCCATGTTGACCTTATCTCAGGGAGAACTAAGGGGGTCTTCTTCTGTTGTAATAGGAAGGATCTGGGGAGACAAGGAGGGACTTCCGGTGTGGAGAGGCGGTGAGCCAGGGCCTCTGCTGGCGGGCGGAATCAAGGCTGCCAGGCCAGCCTAGTGGCAGGAATAGGATCACGGGGGCTCCTGGACACAAGTGGAAGCAGAGAGAGTCAGCCCAACACTCCTCCCTGGTCCCTACCACACACATACACACACACACACACCCTGGGTACTCCCCAGAGTTGGTCTGTAGGCTAAAGTAATCTCTTTAATCCAGGGGAGCCAGGTAGGAAGGAGGGAGAGGGAAAAGGAGAACGGGGCCTGATAGGACCCTGCCCTGCCCACTGAGACAGCCCCTTCCCTACAGAGACCCAGGCTCTGAGCTGCTAGGCGGGCACAAGCGCTCACAGGTACCAAGCCCTTAGGAGGAGATGGGTCCCAGGGGTCAGGGCATGCGCTGACCAGCTGCATGGGCCCACGCACCTGCTTCTGCACCCAGCTCGGCACCACCTGCTGGGGCGCTCTGCCCACAGCTTCTCGCCTGCCTGGGCTCAACAGGCACTGCCATGCAGGACAGAGAACAGACTCCTCACACCCCTCACGTGGAGGTAGAGAGGGAGGAAGCAGGGCTGAGGGATGCAGCCATCCCACCTCAGCACACCCTGGCGGAGGTGTGTGCCTCAGCCCGGCCTGGACTCAGGTTTCTGCTGTGCCTCTCACTCTTGGGATGAGGAATAGGCCAGAGCAGAAGAGGGAGGTGGGCAAATTGCCTGCTGCTTCCCCAATGCCCAAATCTTTTTTGTTGTTGTTGTTTTGTTAATTCTCACCTGAGGATATTTTTCCATTGACTTATTTTATTTTATTTTTAGAGAGAGTGGAAGGGAGGGGGAGAGACAGAGAGAGAAACATTGATGTGAGAGAGACACATGGATTGGTTGCCTTCTGCACGTGCCCTGGCCAGGGCTGGGGATCAAGCCTGCAACCCAGGTATGTGCCCTTGACTGGAATCAAACCTGGGATCCTTCAGTCCAGGGGCTGATGCTCTCTCTATCCACTGAGCCAAACCGACTAGGTCTAATCAGCTTTCTCTCACCCCACCCCCAACTCCATCAGCAAAACCTGTGCTCAGAAAGAGGCCTGCAATGAATTGAGGCCTGAGTGACTGATACACCTCCAGGAGCTCATCCCTCCATGCTGTTGGGTACCAGTGTGGGCGTTTGAAGACCTGGGTTGTTTCCCAGTGCTGCTGAGAGGCTGTGCTCTTGGGCACATCTCCGTCCCTTTAGGTTTCTTACCTATAAAATGGGGTTAATCTTGTCTACTACATGGGAATCTGAATAATTAAATTTTGACAGAAAACAAGGTCTAGGCCAAAGGAATGAGTGTCTAATAGAAAAATTTCGAGCCTCAGCCATGAGTAAAGAATTTTGCGGGTAGGGCCAGGCCACTTTCCCAGGCTCTGATTTCCACTGTGGGGCTGGTTACTTCTTCCTGATGGGACGGCTGCCTGTCAAAAGCCCAGTCTCTCCATCGGAAGCAGCCCTGCCTCTCGATGGGGTGTCAGGGGAAGGGCAACGCGCTGGGAGGAGGGGAGAGAGATTAAGGGGCCCCCTGTGTGGGTCAGCACTTTGTCCCTCTCCTGTACTCTTCACTGGAGCGCTGGCATATCAGGGTTCTCTCCCCATTTTACAGAGGAGGAAATTGAGGCTCTGAAATGTTAGACCTCTGGTCCTGGGCCATATGAGTAAATGCCAGAGGCATCATTGAGACCTAGGATTTCTTGGCTCCAAAGTCTTAGCAGCTAGATCTTGCCATCCAGGCCATGGCTCCCGCTGTGGGTCCTGGGGACACTGCCCCCAGCCCGCCTGTCTCCAGGACAGCCAGCTGACTCTGCAGAGCGTCTCGGTGCCCTCCGCCCACCAGACGGCCTCCTCCAGCCTTGCTTTCCGCCAGGTGCCCAGCAGCCAGTGCTGCCATTTCCAAGCTGAGGAACCTGTGGTGAGAGGTGCTCGGCGCTGGAATTGATCCCAGGGGGAGGGCCCAGCCAGGAGCCCTGCTGCTCTCCCGGGGATGTTATCAGTGGGTCTAGAGAGCAAGGCGAGGAGCGGGGGGGCGAGGGGGGGGGGACAAAGGCCTTGGGCTCAGAGGCCAGAGTGGCCTTGGCCCTCCTCCCACCACCCCCTGCCCTGGGCCAGCACAGGGAGGCTTCTGGGTAAGCGGCACTGGGATTGAAGCCAGAGTCGGAGATGCCGGGGAGGGGGCTGTGTAAACTCAACTGTGTCACCTCCACGCATGAGCCTCACCCAGGCCTCTGTGACCCCCTCCAGACACCACAGCCCAATGCTCTGAGTTGTTCCCAAGCCCATTGCCCTCTCACCCCCACCCCACCCCCTAGTCCGGGCTGTTATCAGGGCTTAGGGGCGGGGAAGGGAGGGACCAAGTGTGAAGGGCAAAGGTGGGCCCAGAGGCCCCTGGCTTGTCCTGAAGCCCCTCTGCTCTCACTAGCCTCTTCCAGGGGAGCCAGGCTGCTAGGAAGGAATGGAGTCTTTCCAGACTCATACACCCCCAGTTCCTGAACCTATCTGGGCTATAGGGGTACCAGGAGAGTGGCATGGGCACCCCCAGCCTTCTAGAGATTTCCCAACTCTCCCAGCAGGCCTGGCTGCATCTGCCACCCTGCCTGAGGCCCTGGTCTAGACTGGTCAGCAGGTGACCTTTGCCCAGGTCACCAAATCTCTGCACCCACTGCCCCGGGGACAGTATAAAACAGGTCAGAACCCTCTGCTCTGCCTGCTCAATTCCTTCCCAGCAGCAGCTGCTCCAGGTAATGTCCTGGGTGTGGCGGGGGCGGGGAGGGTGGTGGACAGGAGAGCAGGATGAGACGGGCAGAAGAGGGTCCCTGTCAGCCAGCAAAGCCTGAGAGGAGCCCAGGAAGACTTAGGGCTTGATGGAGGCCCCCCTCCGATTGCACACTGGGGGAAACTGGGGCCCATGGAGAGGAGGTCACCTGCCCAAAGCGACGGAGAAAGTAGCCCAGAGCTGGGGCTGGAGCTGCCTCCAGGTCTGCACACGCTCCTTGTCCGCATGTCGCATGTGTGGGACTGGACACCCCAGTCCTATCCCTGACAGAAGTCAGAGGCCCGGACAGGCAGCTCCACCCGAGGTCACACAGCGTGTTGGTGGCAGAGATGGACCAGAACCCAGTGTCCTGATTCCGGGTCTGGTGGGTTTTCCGCTCCACCCTACGCCTCCCTCCTGGGGGCTGTGTCTGCTTCGGGAAGACTTCACCTCCCGTGTTTGAGTGTTCAGTGGGAGCAGGCTGTCCACCTGGGAGGAGCCAGCTCGGTGCACTGGAACTCGGTGCACCCCTGCAGGCCTGGAGCTCCCCTCACCAGACCTTCCCTGCAGAGACAAAGGCGCCATGCAGCCCCGGGCCCTCCTCCTTGCTGCCCTCCTGGTGCTCCTGGCCTCTGCCCGTAAGCAGCTTGTGGGGACTAGGGCTGGGGGGTGGGAGGGAACGGAGAGGTGGGGGCAGGTTTCTGCCAGAGGACCCTTGGAAGGTGGTTTGGTGATCTGGGGGCTGATGGGTGCCTGGGCAGGAGGCAGGGCTCCCAGCGCTGATCCACCCCCTTGGCTGCTGTCCTCGCAGGAGCACAGGAGGCGGACGACTCCTCCCTCCTGGATTTCATGAAGGGATACATGCAGGAAGCCCAGGAAGCCCTGACCAGTGTAAAGGATTTACTGGCGATTGAGAACGGCAGGTACGCCCGCCCGGCTCCCAGCTGCCCCGCCCGGGACCTGCGCTCTCAGCCTCCTGCCTGGTCTCCGCAACAGGCCTGTGGCCGTGAGGAGACAGGACAGGCTCTCTCCTCCTGGCCCCTCTCTCTCTCTGCCGCCTCCTTTCTTCGGCTGTCCTGCGTGGCTTTAAGAAAGGCCTCAGTTCCCTGTCCTTTTCTAACAGCCTGGCAGGCAGTTTGCGATGCCCTCCCCCACACCCCCCCCCCCCCACACACACACACCCCATTTTAGCCCAGGGTGTGTGTGTGTTTCAGTCTTGCTCTGAGCCCGGGGCCCCACAGGAGCAGAAGTCTGTCCGTCCCCTCTGCCTGCGCTGCCCGGCACTGGGGTGTCCCTGCCAGAAGCCCCACAGACATTCTCAGTCCTCAGAACTGCCTGTGCAGAGGGGACTCTTCTCTCCATTTCACAGATGAGAAAATCGAGGCTCAGAGAGGCTGTGACCTGCCCAGATCACAAGCTGATAAACCCTCCGATGACTTTCCAAATGAGAGGCCTTTCCTTGGCCCACTCTGAGCCCCCGGGCTGCCTAACTCTAGGGGCAGCATCTGCCTAGAATACAAAGACAGGCCCCACCCGCACGCCGTCACTCCTGCCAGCTTGCCCGGCCTGAAGAGGCAAGCAAGGGACTTGAGCGAGGGTCCCATCACCACCTTCTGCTGGGGTGGAGCTGTTGGGGACTCTGCCTGAGGTCTCGGGGGGGAGGGGTCGCTGGGCAAGGTTGAGTGGGGAGAGGCAGTGGGGAGACATGGGGCCCCATGGTGGCCGCTGCAGCCGGTGAGCTCTGTCCTCACGCCTATGCTCTCCCTCCTGTCTGCACGCAGCAATTGGATGGAGCAGCGCTTCTACTCCCTGACGGGCTTTTGGAGCACCCTCACGAACCATCTCTCCAGCTTCTGGCCCCTGGCCCCTGGGGCTGCCCCCGGGACCACCCCGGCTCCGGCTGTTTAGGCCACCTGAGACCTCAACGCCCCACGCCTGCCTGCCCATCCATCCTGTCGGCTCCTTGGGTCCTGCAGCTTCCAGGGCTGCCCCCGAAGTTTGCTCAAAAGGGGAAGCATTCTCAGTGTCCTCCCCTCCCACCCCCAGACCTGGCCCCAGGCTTGCTGTCTTCCCAATAAAGCTGCTGTGAGTGGGGTGCTCCACATGTGTCATGTTATGTCTGGGCTGGGCATGGGCAGGCTGTTCTGCAGGAGGTGCTGGACCGAGCAGGCCTAGGGCCAGTGCCCTTCCCGCCTCTTCGTGTCTGGGCCTGAGTTTCTTACCTGTAAGGTGGGAATAACCCTACTTACCCTGCCTGCCTCGATGGGTTTGTGTGGAGGCACAAACAGGATGCTAGTTTGACAATACTTGGAATAACTGCCAAATGCTGCACAACATGCCTTGAATGTGTGCTCTTGCCAGGCACTGTGCCTGCACTTGTATGTCCTCGCCAGAGTTGAGACTGTGTGTTCACCCTGTTATGGAGCTACTGACTTGCACCACCTGGGCCACTGGCCCTCTCAGCCACCCCTGAGGGGAGGAGGCCCCTGGGGGAGCTGTTGGGTAAGATACGACTAGGCTCTGACCTTGTCCACCAAGTATATCAGCCTCGGTTCCATATCTGTAAAGGGGTCACAACAATGCCCCCTCCATTGCAGGTTTGTTGAATGAATGAATGAATGAATGAATGAATGAAATGAGACCGTGCTTAGCATCTGGCACATCAAAGGTAAATGGATATCATGTTGCTACAGTTTGAGCTGATTGCTCCCTTGGGAGCAGGATTGGAGGGAGAGGGCCAGTGTCCTGGGAACTAAGAAGGAACCCAAGGTCACCCACAGATGGTGCTTTGCTTAGACCAGCTGTGGGCAAACTACGGCCCGCGGGCCGGATCCGGCCCGTTTGAAATGAATAAAACTAAAAAAAAAAAAAAGACCGTACCCTTTTATGTAATGATGTTTACTTTGAATTTATATGAGTTCACACAAACACTCCATCCATGCTTTTGTTCCGGCCCTCCGGTCCAGTTTAAGAACCCATTGTGGCCCTCGAGTCAAAAAGTTTGCCCACCCCTGGCTTAGACGCTCTCATCAGAGAGTTCTAGAACCACATTCTACTTGAGCGGTCCCCGATTCTTCCAGTGAAGAAGATGAGGCTGAGAGAAGTGAAGGCCTTGCTTGCCCATGTCACAGTCAGCCTTCCCATGTCGCTGCCCAATGGTGGAGCCAGACCTCAAGCCCAGGGCAGCCGCCCACATTCTGCTCAGCAGACACAGAAAGAACCCTTCCCCCTCCTATGCCAGGTGTGAAGGGCTCCCTGACCAATCTGGGCAGGGCCTGTACACCTGGACCCTCTTGGGGACATCTGCTGCCTGGGAAATCTCTGGTCCAGCTGGGCCTGTGAGCCTAGCACCACACGTGGGGAATGTTCTCACCTGGGCTGATAGCTGCTGGTGGAGGTGGTTAGTAACCAAGATAGTTAGGAACTAAAAGGCCTGTCCTTTATCTGAGAGTCCTTAAGAGAAGCGAGATGGAGGAGGGGAACCGCCCAGTGGCCTGGGGAAACCCTGCGGGGAGGAAGCGGGAAGGCTGAGTGAAGGCGCTGCCCAGATCTTTGAAGATCTGTGGGTCCTGCGTATGCACGGAGGGTGGCACGCCTGGCTGTGAAGAGGCTGGTGTGAATAGGGCTGCACACATGTGGACGTGCAGACGTGTGTATCCAGACAAACTCAGTGCTGGCCACACACGTGTTTTGTTAAATAGCCATGGATGCCCAGAGGCAGATGGGTTTGAAAAGGGCAACCTCTGCCACCCTTCTCTTCAACCTGGGCGGGGGCCTCCCCTCTCCAAGCTCCAGTCCCTCCTCTGGACATGGGTGTAATGGCTGTCCGCCCTGGATTTGAGAGGGATGCGGTAAGACGGTGCTGTGAAAGCATCTGGAAAATAAACGTGTGCTAACTTCCTGCAGAGGCGTGGTTGTTTTCTGACGCAGGCCAGAGCGGGCAGAGAGGGGGTGGCAGGGCTTGGAGCACCCTAGGAGGCCTGGCTGGCTTCACAGCTGAGGACACAGTGGGAATGAGGGAGAGCAGCTGCCCTTGTGAAAACAGTAAAGGCAAATGCTCAACGCTGTTTCATTAATAAAGGAGGAAGGAGCAAGGGCCAGGCTCCTGGTTTGCGCCTGCCCAGATTCAAGTGCTCCCTGAGGTGCCTCCCCCTCCCCTCCTGGGATGCCCCTGTGTCTGCCCAGGGGAGGCCTCTGGGGACCGGACCTCTTCTCCCAGCAAAACAGCCCCCTCCCATGCCCCTCAGACCCGGGCTGCAATCCCGCTGGGCTCCTAAGCACTTAGCATTGGATTATCCGTTGCTTTGCCTGGCCGGGTTCCTTTCTGCTTGGTCCTCCTTAGGAGGGGACGCCTACCGCCTGCACCGGCTCCTGGAGCAGGCCCCGCAGGGCTCCCAGCCGCGCGCTCCGAGGCCCGCACCCGTCCCTTCTCCCAAGAGAAAACAGTTGGGGGACCTTTTAATTGTTTCAAAACCATCCTTGAAGCTCCAAAAAGCATCAAACCCAACACATGCGTCCCGCTTTGTAAACGTTTATTCTCAGAAACCGAGCGATGGGAAGGGAACCGAGGACGGGGAGGGGAGTGGGCGCCTCACTGGCCGGTCAGCCTCTGGGAGATGCCGTCGATGTCGATGCCTTACAGGAAAGGCTGGAATAAGTCCTGGAGGCTCTCCCACAGCGGCTGCAGCGTGGGCTCCACCTGCTTCCGCAGCTCCGCCAGCCCCAGGTGCTCGTGCAGGTGCTTGCGCAGCTGCTCCCCGTAGGGCTCCAGGCACTCGCGCAGCTTGTCCTCGCCGGGCTCCATGCACTGGTGCAGGTCTTCGCCGAAGGACTGCAGGATCAAGAGCAGAGAGAACATGCGCTCCGAGAACACTTGCCCACGCGCGCGATCCATCAGCGTGCGCGAACCGTCCCGCACCGTCTCGCCCAGCTGGCGCAGCTTCTTCTGCAGCTCCTGCAGCTCCTCCTGCACGCTCCCCGGCAGTGCCTGGCCCAGCAGCTCCACCCTTTCCTGCCACTTCTTCTGGATGCCCTCCAGGTAGGGCTTCATCACCTCCGCCAGGTCCTTGTTCAGCTCCCCGGTCAGCATCCCCCCCTCTTTCTTCAGTTTGTCCCAGATGGTCTGGGCCACCGGGTTGAGCTGCTTTTGCAGGTCCGCGACCTTGTTGCTCAGGGTGTCCAATTTTTCAAGGACTGTCAGGCTGGGGGGAAGGGAGGGAGCAGGTGTCAGGGGGGACCTCCCAGGCACCCTGGACACCTCGGAGCTGCAGACCCAGCACCCAGCTTACCTGTGGTGAGGTCTGGGCAGAACTGTGCCTGCTTGTAGGGGAGCGATGGGTCAGGCCTGGGCCTGGCTTCTCCCAGGCAGTGTCTCGCCCAAGGACCCTCCTCTCCTCCCCCCCAACCACAGTGCCCAGACTGAAGAGCTAGTGGGAGACAGAGCTAGCTTTGGTGATCAGCCTTGTCTGTCCCCAAAGCCAGACCATTTAAAGGCCTCATCTCTATACTTCCAGACCGTTCTCCTCTGCCTCCGAAGACCGCCCTCCCTGCCGCTGGGCGAGAGGAAGAGGGACTGGAGGAAGGGAGGGAGCTGCTGCTCGTGCAGGCAGAACGCGATCCTGGGTCCCGGGTCTGCGCCCCCCCCTCCCTCCCCGCTCCCGCTAGGAGGCTGTTTCTCCATCCAGGTATGGGGCCCATCAGGTAGCAGCTGGGATGCAGCCCGTGTGGCTACATCTACCCACAGGCCTGGCATCCGCCCCTCAGGACCAGCAGCCCCTGCGCCACCCAGAGCCCACACGGGGTCCTTACTTCAGCTTTTTTGCCAGGTCGGTCTCTTCAAACTTGACTATGTACTCTCTGCCCCTGACTTTGGCTGATTTCAGATACATCTGGGCGAAAGCCTTCACTTGCTCCCATTGTGACGGGGGCTCCTCTTGCTGTGTTTCATGCTGAGCCTGGCTCCCTGGGGTGGAGAGACGGCACCTCAGTCAGGCCAGTTCTGGGCCGGATCTGAGTGGAAAGGCCAGCTTGGGGCAGAAGAGAGGGGTCTTGAGAGAAATTCTGCTCCCTTTGCCCAGAAGGGTAGACCACGGGGGTGAGGGAGAGGGCCTCCTGATGTTGGTTGTCTAGGTTGGGAGCACTTACCTGTGAGGAAGAGCAGGGCCAAGGTGAGCACCACAGCCTTCATCTTGGGGACCTGGAGGAGGAGAGGGGCCTGGCTGAGTGGGTGCCTGTGGCTGGAGGGCCTGTGCCCCACTCTCCAGGCAGAGCAGCCTCAGGTATCCAGAGCCCAGCACCTGGCAGAGCCTGGAGCCAAGATCCCAGAGCCTGAGCTCTGAGCTGGGGGAGCCAGAGGGTCTGGAGGAGGCAGTGGCATGTACCTGGGTGAGTGCTCTGAGCAGCAGCTTGCCTGGGGCCTATTTATGCCACCAGCAGGGGCTGGGCTGGGAGGCTGATCAGTCCAGCCCAGGCCTTGCCAAGGCTCACAGGTCCCAGCGGGAATCTGGAACCTAGAGTTCAACGATCAGCTCTGACCCGGGGCTGGGCAAACAGAGTGGGCAAACAGGAAGCTGGGGGGTGGGGAGCCTGCAGGGCCAGGGATCAAGGATGCAGGAGGGAGTGGGAGGGGGTGGCTGCAGGCTTACAGGTCCCCAGGGTCTGGTCCACTGTTTCCCACTATTGTCCATTGTGCCAGCACAGCAGGGGAGAGGAGGGAAGGAGGAAGATCCCCAAGCTGGTCAGGAACAGCAGGAAGCCCCTCCGATTCCAGGGAGATGTGTCTGCACCCCTCCCGCCTTCCCCCACAGAGCAGACTCCCCCCTTCTGCACCACCTCAGCTGCAGCTTCTGCACCCCTCTCTCCAACCCCTGGAGACCTCCCAAGGCCTAAGGAAGAGACGTGGGGTGCTCAGAGCCACCTGGGGAGAGGGGGACAGTACTCAGTGGCTCCCTGGCTTGGAGGTTACAGAGGCCTCTAGTATTTCCAAACAAATTCTAGGGACCAGCAATAGAGTTGCCGACTTTTAATGTCGTCATGTAAAAATCCTACCTACTGCGCCCCCCAAACCCTACATCTACCATGACCAGCACTTCAGAACAGAAAATATTTTTTAAAAGACATATTTTTATTGATTTCAGAGAGGAGGGGAGAGGGAGAGAGAGAAACAATGATGAGAGAATCATTGATGGTTGCCTCCTGCACACCCCCTACTGGGGATCGAGCCCACAACCCGGGCATATGCCCTGGAACGGAATCGAACCTGGTACCCTTCAGTCTGCAGGCCAACACTCTATCTGAACTGGTGAGGGCAAGAAAAGATTTTTTAACACAAAAAATAGAGCATAATCTCAGAATAAAGGACAGTCACGTAAATGGAAAACATGTATCTTTGCGTGGTTCATATTTACATGGGATCACACACAGGTGAGAACAGATGGCGGCCCCCGGGACCACTGATGTGGGAGGAAATACCTCAGGTCCAGGCAGCAGAACTGCTTTCTCATTTCTTTTTGCCTCCGACTTGCAAAGTCCTGGAGGTGCCTGGGGAGGCAGTTATGTGATCTCCCGGAGCCTCCGTCTCGGATCAGCAAGATGGGGACAGGCTTGTTAGGAGCCCAGGAACCTGACAGGTGAAGAGCTGTGCTCGCTGATGTGCAGCACCGTTTGTGAGGCTTCTCTCCGAAGGCCCAGCACCTCCGCGCCAGGCCACTGACAGGCCCTGAGTTACAGGACCTCTGAATGTCCACGCTGAAAGGCACTTTGAGATCAGCTGCTCCAGCCTCCCCAGCACCTTGGAGACAAGGAAACTGAAGGCAGTGAACGGAATTTGCCTGATGTCTTTGGTCTCCCAGGGAGTTGGAGGAAGGACAGGACCTAGAACCCAGGTCTGCGGACTTGGAACCCCCAGACAGAAACGTGCCCTCCTACTCCAATGCCAGATCCTGGTGTGGAGGGGCTCTGAGCTGTTCCCACTGTAGCCAGTCTCGTGTCTTTCGCCTCAGAGAAGAAAGCTTTGGAGCCCAGCAGCCTTGGGCTTGAATCCCAGCTCTGCTTATCTGCATGCCACTGGGCCAGTTACAGCACCTTACGGAGGAGGGAAGGAAGATGGCTGCCGATGGGAAGGCAGACTGCAAGATAATGTGTGAGTGAGAGAACGAAGGGAGAGTGTGTAGTCGTACGGGGAGTATTTGTTTGTGAGTTGAGGGACAGCAGGGGACTGTGGGGGGCTGCCGGATGGGGTTCCCCTGACCCCCACTGCTGTTGCGATCCCTCCCAAAGCGACTGGCTCTGACATGGAGACCGTGCCATCTTGAAGGGGAGAGTGGATGTTGTCGGAAGCCTGAAAATCCTGGGAATCTACAACAACGGCACCCAGCGAACAGCTGCGATCACGGGAACACTGGTCCCCAAGCAGCGTGAGCAAGCGGATTTGGAGGAGCTCTGCACCCCCTCATGGAAAGGTCAGATTTCACCTGGATAAGGAGAGAGAGAACTACATAACCAGACACCCGGAGAAGAGAGATCATGGGGAGACAAAGAAACAGCCCGCATATGAAAGAAAAACAGGTATCACCAGAGAAGGAAGTAAACGAAATGGAGGCAATGGAGGCAAGCAACCTGTCAGAGAAAGAATTCAGAGAAATGGTCATAAGGTGGATGAAAAGAATGGAAGACAAATTCAACAATATGTGTAAGAACCAAGAGGAAATGAAGAAGAACCAAGAAGAAATGAAAATGACATCACTGTTATAAAGAACTCAATAGAAAGCATCAACAGTAGACTAGAAGAATCAGAGGACTGCATCAGTGAGCTAGAAGACAAGGTAGGAAAAAATACCCAAGCAGAGCAGCTTCTAGAAAAACAAAATTAAAAAGCAAGAAGAGAGCCTAAGAGAACTTTGGGACAACACGAAACAAAACAAGACCCGCATAATAGGGGTGCCAGAAGGAGAGGAAACTGAGCAAGGAACAGAACCTTATCACCATCACCGTCTTATATAGTAAGGGTGCACATCTGGCAGGCAGAACAATGGGCCTCCATGTCCTGCTCCTTGGAACCTGTGACTGTTCCCTTCATGAGAGGACTTTGCAGATGTGAATGTAAGGACCTAGAGATGGTGTGGTTATCTCTGGGTATCCAGGTGGGCCCAGTGCCATCCCAAATTCCCTTAAATATACGCGAGGGAGGCAGGAGAGGTGCAATCAGAGAAGGAGGCGAGGGTCAGAGTGAAGTGACTGCTGGACAGAGCCAGGAGCCAAGAGTGCAGGTGGCCTTAGAAGCTGCAGAAGCAAAGGACCGTTTCCCCGTAGATTCTCCAGAAGAAATGCAGGTCTGCAGACACCGTGGTTTTAGCCTCGTGTAACCCCTTTGGACCTTTGACCTGCAGAACTGTCCTGGAAGATCATACATTTTGTTGTTTTAAGCACTAAATGTGAACGTGTACAGCAAAACTGAAAGGTCCCTGGCACCTTTCTGTGCCCCAGATCCCAATTTTGGCACTTGATCCCCTTACTCCCACTGACCACACATGGTCAGACCAGAGCAGACCTTGGTTGGCTTCAGGCAGCAGAAGTGGGGGAAGCAGGGAATCCACTTTCTCCGTGTGGTCCTGACTTGCAGACGCTGAGCTAGAGGGATCTCTGTTCTGGGGCTGACCCAGCCCCCGAGGCCTGTGGGAGCCTCAGTGGACATTTCCTGGGCCAGCCCAGTTCTCTGCCTGCTTAGAGAGCGGGAGGGAGGGCAGCCTTCTTCTGGGTCAGCTCACAGGTAGGTGTCTGAGGCCAAGAGGGGTTACTTTCTTTCTGGGGGCAGAACTTGTCCCAGCCAGTACATGGGGGCTCTCAGAAGCGTCAGGTTGGATTCCAAGCTACTTGTCACTGTTTTACCTCCTCTTTGGTTTGTTACTGAAACAGTTATTATGGCTGCACACAGTATCCGGCATTCACATCGTCCCTCGTGGCCTTCCTGATGACCTGAGCACGGCCTGTTAGAGTGCCTGTGACACCAGCGCAGAGCTGCCATGAGCTTCCCGCCAGTCATTAGTATGTGGTGCTGGCAGGACTGGGAATCAGGCCTGGCTTCTAGTCCTGACGGTTGCCTGATGGCCAGCAGGCCCACCGCCCACAGCCCGGGCCCTGCTCAGGATGCTCAGCCCCTGGCTCGGGGACTTGACGGCCTGGGCGGGAGAGTGCTGGCAAATGCACTCACTAGTGCGTCTGCTCCATCTCACTGTAGGTATTGGCTTGAACTGGTCCACGCCCCTCGTGGCCCATACTTCGGAGGGAAAGGAATCTTTCTGGGTAGAGGCCAATGGGAAACGCCGCTGATGATAGACTGGGTGCATCTCAGATTCAGATTTGGGGGCCAGCCTTTGTCAGAGGACCAAGCGGCGCAGACTAGCTGTTTAGTGGGTGCAGGGCCCACCAGCAGAGGCCCTTTGTGCTACC